CAACCGTAAACATGCTTTGAACTCTAGACTCCCAGGTCCTGAGCAACCTAGATGTGTTCCATTCGCCGATTGTTGCCCTTCCACAAGGGATACTGTTGATGATATAAATCCTGCACTACCTTAAGGACCCTAAACTATGGGAATTATGGTATATTCCTGATTATGGGTAATGCAGGATTATTATCATCAACCGTATCAAGTTCAGGTCCCAAAGCCCGAAAGCCAAGTTTCAACGACAGCCCTGACCCTGAGCCCCGAAAGCCCTAAGCAGCGCTAAGCGGATGAAGTTTGAACACTGCAGGCCCCCAGAGACTCCAATATCCCTTAATTAAGGAATATACCTTAAATCATATCAAGGATCCTACTATAATTTAAGGTATTTTCCTTAATTAAGGGATATTAGAATCCCCTAAACCCTATAGATCCCTTTTCGATCCCTTAAAGGAACCCTAGGTATATTCCTTAATTAAGGGATATTGGAGTCGCAGCCTCCACTCTTAAGCCGAGCCCCGGCTCGCCAGTCCCTCAACCCTGAGATCCCCGAGCTCCAAACTCCAAAGTCCGGGGTTTGGGGCTTCAGGATTCGGGGTTTAAGGGGGTTTAGGAATGTTCCTTTAAAGGGATCTATAAGGGTTCCTTTAAGGGATCTATAAGGGTTCCTTTAAAGGGATCTATAGGGTTTAGGGATTAGGGGTTTAGGGTTCAGGGTTTAGAGTTTAGGGGTTTAGGAATCAACCGCTGATAACCCTAGGGACATCTTCCAAAAAGGTGTAAACCCTACGACGGATGCCTTCGCTGAACCTTGTGGACCCTTCAAAGGCCCCATGGGCCAATAAAACACCGCGTACCCTCCAAACCCTAAAGCCAACACCCCCGCCCTAAACCCTTCAATCCCTAAATCCCTAAACCCTAAACCCTAAACCCTAAACCCTAAACCCTAAACCCTAAATCCCTAAACCCTAAACCCATCTCAACCCCTAGACTCCTAAACCCCAAACCCTGAATCGACATCTCTAGCCATGCTCCGCTCCCGCTTGTTGGCGCCGACGGGAGCTTTTCTGAGGTGCCACGCGCTTTTGTTTTTGCTTGTGCGGGGTGGGGGGGGTGGGGTGGGCGTATGGGACAGTTGCGCAGCCGGGGTTGGGGTTTCAGGAAGTTTCTGGTTCAGGGTTTCAGTGTTTAGGTGCTTCTTTTGGGTCTGACGTGTTGCTTGTTTGAGGTGGCATTGCCAGGCTCCGTAGGTTTGCGAAAGGGTGTGCCGTCCAACCCAACCCCACAAAATCCAAATCTTGATAAATCTTGAAGATCCGTAAACCCTAAACGCCTAATCCTTAGACCCCTAAGGGAACGCTTATAGATCCCTTTAAAGGAACCCCTACAGATCCCTTTAAAGGAACCTCAAAACCCACAGGAGCTGCCAGGCCACCGGCTACCAGTCGCGCTGTCCGCGCACCTGGGCCGGTCATGGCTGTGGCCTCTGGCCCAGACAGTCGGCCTGTGCGCCGGTGACTGGGTTCTTGTTAAGGAATGGAGTCTAAGTCACCCTAAGGGTTCCTTTAAGTGATCTCCTCTAAGGGTTCCTTTAAGGGTTTAGGGTTTAAGGCTTTAAGTTACCATAAGGGGGATCTATAAGGGTTCCTTTTAAGGGGGTTCCTTTTAGGGGAGCTACAAGGGTTCTTTTTAACGGGTAAAGAATGTAACTTAAGTCACCGTAACAGGGATCTATAGTACGTAATATGGTTTCTTGATTATTATGGTAGCTCAAACTAAACTGCTAAGCCCTTAAACCCTTATAGAACCCTTAAAGGAAGCCTGAATTATGAAAAAAATCCTTAACAAGAACCCAGCAGAGCCCTTGTAGAGCCCTTATAGTACCCTTATAGAACCCCTTCTAAGAAGAACAGCTCCTTAACAAGAGCCCAGGTGAGACTCCGCCTCCCGAATGTTCCGAGCTACCGAGGCCTTTCAGGTGGGTCCTCCCAGGCTCCTGGGTTCGACTTGGGGCACTTGAGTTGGGCTGGGCTCCTTTGAGGGCTCCTTTGAGGGTTCATTCAAGGGTTCCTTTGAGGGTTCCTTTAAGGGCTCCTTTGAGGGCTGCTTTGAGGGCTCCTTTAAGGGTTTCTTTGAGGGCTCCTTTAAGGGCTTAGGGTTAAGGGTTAAGGGTGTTTGTACAAACATGTACAAACAAAAAAGATGGATTCGTTATGTTTCGCTATCATGGAAGATCATGGAGAAAGTTGCCATAGTAGACGGGTTTGCAACGAACGCTGATATGACAAGCAGAACTCTAAACCCCAAATCCCAAGCGCTAAACCCCCAAGCGCTAGAGGCCTAAAGCCCAAGCCCCCAACTTCTAAATCCCCAAAACCACAAAAACCCCCAGAACCTTAAACACTGAAACCCTACGTCCTAACCCAATATGCCCAAAAGCAACCACAAAAAAACGCCACAAAAAGCCCAAGCATCCTAAACCCTCTAACACCCTACCGCAAGTCCCAAAAATCCGAAACAAAAACCCTAAACCCTAAACCCTAAACCCTAAACCCTAAACCCTAAACCCTAAACCCTAAACCCTAAACCCTAAACCCTAAACCGCAAAGCCCCAAGTCCCTACTCGGGCTAAAAGGGGAGCCTAGGCTTCGGCTCTGCGTCCCAGCTCCGACGCCTTGAAGATCGCAGCCGGCCTCGCAGCTGGGCTGCTCTTTGGGAGCAACTTTGAGCCGTGGGGTTTAGGGTTTAGGATTTGGGGTTTAGGGTTTGGGGTTTAGGGTTTAGGGTCTGATGAGCTTTAGTTCTGGTGCAGGATGGATTGTAGAGTAGAGTAAGGTGGAGCGAAGTACAGTATAGTCAAGTTAGTAAGGTGTAGGGTAATGTCGTGTAGTACAGTATAGTGCAGTACGGTGTGGTATAGTATAGTATCGTATGGGAAGTATAGAGTTGCTATAGTATAGCCTGGTTCAGGATCGAAAGTGTAAGTTCTAGTTTTAGTATAGTATGATAGCTTTATGAAAGAGCAACAACCATGATGTTCGACGGGCCTGCAAGAATCACTCAGGCGAGTTTCCTTGGCTTCGATGCCTTTGTGCGTTGGGGGATCGACGTCGGCGGGCTCCATCTTCTGCCCTCGCAGATCTTTGGCTAGGGTTTTTGGTTTTCCACCTTAGGGCTCCTCGCTGCGCTTTTCTGGTGGGGTTTATAGGACTTTTACTTTTTGGATCTCCCTATGGTTTAGATCATGGAGGGTATGAGAAGTCAAACACAGGATCTGCAGTATGCTCAGCGCCTTTGGCGGCTTCTCGCTGGCTCATGTTTTGGCTCCCGCAGCCGCAGGCCAGGCGCACCAAGCTCTGATGCCTGCGGTGGGTTGGGTCGGCCGCTGGTTGCCAGTCTTCCTGGTACCCGTTCAAGTGACGCTGCCCACGATCCTTGGTTGTTGTTAAGGAGTTAGCTTAAATTACCATAATAAGTAAAGCGTGTTATTTACTTCAGTTGATAGATTCCCATGGTGATAAGCTTGAATTGAACCCATTTGTTCTCCAAACAGGTACAGTTTGGGGTTCTCTCCTCAGAAAAAAGGTGGGCCGCCGTGGCTGGATGGGTAGGCCGCGTCGACGGGGCTGGGCTCCCAGTGGGCTCCCTTCATGTTTCCTTTTTGGGCTCCTGGGTGGGATGGGTGGGCCGCGCCAGTGGCTCTAAACTCTTGGCAGCTAGTGGTCCGTGGCCGATTTTTCAGTCCATACACCAGCAGGATAAACGTTTTGTCGCACTAAAATGTCTTTCGTTGGCGGCAACCCTTCATGAACGGCCCTCAAATGGACAAGGGTTTGACCCCCCAACCCTCCATGAACGGCAAGTGGACAAGGGTTTAGCCCCCCCCAACCCTTCATGAACGGCAACTGGACAAGGGTTTGAGGACTCGGAGTACCAGGAAGCAGGCGTCTATGGGGGAAGGGGGCTTACAAGTACATGTCATGTTAGCAGCACTGCCCAATTGTACGAGCTTTCGTCCTGGCGCAGCATGAATACCAGCACCGACAGTTCGGCCAGGCACGCCGGAGTGAAACCAGTGGGACTATGAAGGGGAGCCAAAGGCAACATGCAGACGAGCTTTTTTGGTACGGATCTCTAACCGTGTTTAGTCGAGAAGGAGCATCAGCAGGATGGTCGTTTTGTCGCACCAACATGTCTTTCGTTGGCGGAGGACTCGGAATACCAGGAAGTGTGTTTCAGGTGGCCTGGCCAGCGGAGGAATTTCTATGCCAAAATAAACACATGTTACCGTTTTGTTCCAACGCAGGAATTATTAGCTAGCATGCGGGCCACGAAATGTCTGTGCAGGAGTCTTTGAGGGAAGGGGGATTACAAGTACATGTTAGCAACACTGCCCAATCAATGCGACGAGCTTTCCGTCCTGGCGCAGTAGTCGTCCATTTTAGTCCACCTTTTCGCATGAGTTTCGCGCTGCAGCCTTGAGGACTGCAGTTTGGAAAAGCCCCTTCCTGCACAAATAGGGCCACCGAAACCTTGCATAATTCAGGTCTGTTAGCAAAAGTGAGTGCAAACCCTTGCGCACCAAGGCAGATGACGCGACAACGCAGCGTTTCTGTGTTCACATTTAGGGGACGCAAGGAATGTTTGTGCCCAGTGAGGCTTCCATCTCAAGTCCATTTGAAACCCGAAAATCAAAGCCGACATCTTGGAACATTTGGCGTCGCACCCTGAATAGCCAATATCCTAAACCCTCAAACTTACGTTCTTGAATTGGAGAATGCCTGGCATGCTCTGGCAAGATTGGGCTAGCCTCGGCAGAACATAGAAGCACAGCCTCAGAACACTGCCGCCAAGGCATTCCTTTTCCAACCAAAAAGAACGCGCGTCTACAATGAAAAGACGCCGCCGATTGCCTACAAGACTTCACCAAAACAAGCACCAATATCTACCAGGACACCTATGGCTGTAATGTATTGTTTTGCAGTTTCGCTTTTTTGGTGTGTTGCCCCATGGCTGATCGTGCGAGTGTACAGCTGCACATCGTTCGTGTCTGGCTGGATGCAGGGCAAGTGGCCGCTGCTCAGGCATCTTTGAGGCAACTTCAATCCCAAAAGGGCATAACATGGAAGCACTCAGTGGGGAAATGGAAGAAGACTGAAGGATGCTCGGTGCTACAGTAATGGTTTCTGGCTGCCGCATCTTGTTTGTTTTTGCTTTGGCATTCTTTGCTTCGATAAGTTCGTCTGTAACGACGAGCTTTTGGCGTCAAGCAACAGGGCCGGCCGAAACGTAGAGCACCACGAGTCCGCATCTTTCGAATTTATGGGAGTGAAATTTGAGCATCTTCGAGCAGGCACGCCCCTGTGCAAGAAGTTGTGGGTTTTTCGCACGGGTGCTGCACGGCTGCCGCATGGTCAATGGTGGAGTCCGTGATTTAGTGGACTTGCACAAGACCATGATCTTTCCAGCCAATGGGCCTGCCAATCATGTTTGCACGGTCCCAAGCTTTTGGGCTGCAGTCCCTGCATGTGACGGGCAGCACGTTTCGCATCCAGGATCATCCTGGATGAGTTACCGAGCTTCATGGTGCGTCGCAAGTTCAACGCGCCGTGCATGCGTTGAAAGTGTGGCACGACCTGCTCATGACTGGTAGTGTGAGGAGCACTGCAAAGCGTCCGACATCCGACTTGCTGGGAAAATTTGACTCCATCCCCGGCAATGCTAACGAACCTGCAGATCTCTGCAGCGCAACTTGACAGATGCTTGAGTCTGAGTCTCATGCCTGGGCCAGGACAAGCAAGCAGGGGCTTGTGTACTGCGTGCTCAATGATGTTTTCACTCTTTATCATAGCACTGCTTGGGCTGGATGCTAAAACACAAGCCGCCTTTAGGACTACGATCTTTGCGCTGAACTATCAGCTGCTTTTCCACCAGGGAGATTGAATATGCTGGTTTTGGAAGTTTTCGAAGTTATCTGTGCCACAGCTGCAAAAAAAGGGAGCATGTTCTGTGCAGCCATGGCGCTGCCCACAAACAAGTCATTTTGGACACGGCGTTCTTTTGTCAAAAAAAAGAACGCTTCCTTGCCGTGCGGATGTCATCACCACCCATTCTTCCTTTGCACAAAAATATTCCCTAACTTGAACCGGCGTGATTCGATGCAATCTGCTTGGGGTCTTCGCTGGTGCAAGGTAGCATAGTAAAGAAACCATATGATTTATTGGATCCTCTTTATAGCAACTTCAACTAAACCCGTGAACAAGGGAGCTATTGTAGAAACGTAAACCAAAATTTCTTAGCAAGAACTCTAAACACTAAAGCCCAAGCCCGAAACCTTTAAACCTTAAACCTTATTCAGCCCCTTAAAAAACCCTAAAGCCTAAACCTTAAACCCTTATAAATCCCTTGAAAAAAATCCGAAACCCTATTACATCCTTTTAAAACGAGCCGAGGATCCTCTTCCCCGGCGGCGCCTTCGAGGCCGCGGGCCTGGGGCTTCTTCTGGCCGGCGGCTGGACCGCCGCTGTGGCGGGCGCGGCGCGCCTGGTGGCGCTGTTGCTGGGCCCTTGTTGTTAAGGGATGTAGTGCTTAGGTTTAGGGTTTAGGATGGTTTAGGGTTGAAGACTAAATATTTTTAAGTAATGTGGTTTGCTGCTGCTGGTAATTCAAAATATGTAATTTGATCCCCTTAACAAGAACCCAGGTTGGCCCCACAGCTGCCGGCCTCCGAGGCTGCCGCTGCGGCCAAGGCCGGCCCGAGGCGGCTGGTGCCGGTCTGCGTGGCGTGGCTGCTGCTGGCGGCGGCCACCTCTCCCTTCGGCGTCTGGCCGGAGCTCCTGCTCTACAGCCCATAGCCTAAACCCCGAAGTAAACATAGAGGATGCTGTATACTGTAATATCCTTCATTCTAACATATTTTGGGCATGTTACTAAGCTGCTATTGTAATACCCCGTTTTGAACCATCCAGGGTTCTTCCTGTCTCAATCTGGGCACAAATCCACCGCAGGAGCCCTAAACCCTAAGCCCAAAAATCCTCAACCCTAAGCCTTAAACCTTAAAACCCCACACCCCTCTATACCCTAGACCCTAAACCCAAAGCCCCAAGCACCGCAGGAGCTTTGGGGCGGTGACGAAGAGCGGAGCCGACAGCTTCTGGGTTCTTCAGGGATTTAGTTTAAGTTTCAATCAGATGGAAACCGTATTATAGGGTTTAGGGTTGAGGGTCTAGGGTTTAGGATGTAGGGTTTAGGGCATACATATTATAGAACTCTTATAGGAACCCTGAAGTATGGTAGCTTAAAGTTAAAGTTCTATATAACAAGAGCCCAGGCTTCGGGGCGCCGGCCTCGCGGCCTTGGGCGTGGGGAGCTTCGCCCTGGCAGTGCACCAGGGCCTGCAGCTGGGCGCATCATAGTGCTACGGTTGATGATCTAAATCCTAGGGTTCCTTTAAAGGGATTTTTAAGGGTACCTTTAAGGGGGTCCTTTAAGGGATCTATAGGGGGGTTAGGGTATTTGGGTTTAGGGTAATATAAATCCTGCATTACCTTAAGGACCCTAAACTATGGGAACTAGGGTGTATATTTCTTAATATGGGTAATGCAGAATTTACATCGTCAACCGTTGGATAGTATGTTGTATAGTTCGCCAGGACCCTAAACCCGAAACCCTAAACCCTAAAACCTAAACCCTAAACCCTAAACCCTAAACCCTGCTATTTAAATTCCTACATCAGCAATCGTGGAGCCCGCAGCCCCAAGCATGCAACCCAAATCCTGGTCCCAAAATGCCCCTTACTTGGAGGGTCGGGGGACTTAGTAACTGGTTATTTTAGGGACTTATAAGTACCATAACCCCAATTAGATTCCCTTTTAGGGTACTTATAAGTCTACTTACTACCTACTTACTAAGTCCCCCGACCCTCCAAGTAACCCCTGCCTAGACCTTAAATCGCTGCAGCCCTAAAGAGCCAATGCCCGAATGCCCAACTCCCGAAACTCTACACCCTCAAACCCATAAGCCGTGACCAGTTGAGTTTTAAAATCCTTAACCCCGAAATCTTGAACCCCTGAACCGAAACGCTTGAAACCCCTGAAAATCCAAAGCGCAGACAGTAACTAAGCTTACCCTTGGTTAGTAGGGAATGGGGGAATGGGGTACAATTATAACTGCTATTACTACCATTCTTCCATTCCCTACTAACCACAGGTAAGAAAGTGGCCTTTAGAGATCTCTCCTGTAAGTGCGCACGCAGACAAACAGCAATCGAGCGACCTCAAAAACTCGAAGGGGTTTAGGGTTCAGGGGTTTGGGGTTTAGGGTTTAGGGGTTTGGGGTTTGGGGTTTAGGGTTTAGGGGTTTGGGGTTTGGGGTTTAGGGTTTAAGGGTTAGGGGTTTGGGGTTTAGGGTTTAGGGTTTTAGGGTTTTCGGTTCCTGCAAGGACCGGAAGTGCTCCATTGGTTTTCTGTTGCTGGTACGAACAAGCATTATCGAAGAAGCTGCAGCATCACGCCATGTGTTTCTTCTGCTAGTCGCTTCTTTACCATATGACAGTTGTTGCATCTGTTGCCATTGTTTTCTAACACATCACGAACAATGCCCATACGGTCCCTAAAATTTCAAAACCAAGTGTTCCTCATCTCTTCGATGTGCTTATCGTTTCGGGCTTCCAAAGCACGTGTGCTGAGCTCTTCCACACTATGTAGTGCTGGCCAACCTCCAGCGCATTGGCAGCCGAAAGCTGGTAGCCAGCAAACGGCCAAGCCTGTCATGATTCTGACTGTTACTATATTACTTCTATTCCTACCATTACTGTTAGTCTCAGTATTGCTATTTGTAAACCCTAAACCCTAAACCCTAGATTATTGTTGTTGTTATCCTTAGTAGTACTATTCCTCCGGTGGCGAGGCCACAGTCGCCAGCCGAAGCGTAACGAGAAACCTAACCAGAGGCCCTAAACCCTAAGCCCTTTACCCCTCTCGCCGTGGGCAGACGGAAACGAGGCCCTTAAAAAAACAAAGACCCTTTACCCTAAACCCAAAACCTGAAACCCTGAAGCTTAAGCCGAACCGTCTGTCCCAGAGACCCCAATATCCCTCAATTAAGGAATATACCTTGAATTATAGTAGGATCCTTAATATGATTTAAGGTATATTCCTTAGTTAAGGGATATTGGAGTCTCTGGGGTTAACTGAAGGCCCGGCCACATCTGCTTCCTGGCGAACGGCGTGGCCACCATCTGCGGAGCTGCGGCGATGGCCTTCGCCAGGGGCGAGAGCTACAGCCAGGTGGTCAAGAGACGCTGGATCTCTTGTGGGCTTGTCTGTGGTAACTAAGCGGGTTCAATAGCGTTTCATAGGGTTTTGAAGGGATTTGTATGTTTTTTTGTGAGAGGTTCTCAGGTTTCAAAAAGGCCTGTGTGCTGTATTTGGTTGTGTAGAATTTTTGATTCTGTGTTTTTGAGTCGTAGACATCAAATAAGTCTCCCAGGATGTACGGGTGCTGAGAACCTGGCACCCTGCGCCGCCCCGAACTCATCCTGCTTGGGAATCCCAAGCTCTAAACCGCCGTAGGTTGTGTACCCTCGGGTCTGGGGCTTTACGCCCCCAGCCCCAATCCCAAAAAACCCTAAACCCTAGACCCTAGACCCAAAACCCAAAATGCAAAACCCTAAACCCTAAACCCTAGACCCTAGACCCTAAACCCAAAACCCTAAATGCAAAACCCTAAACCCTAAACCCTGGACCCCCAAACCCTGAAGCCAAGTTGTTGAGAAAGCAAGGAGACTACTTGGTGGGGGTCGCCGGGCCTTCGGGCACCGGAGACATGCTTCTGTGGTGCCACGGGCTGAGCTCGTCTGGTATAGTGGGATTAGGGTTTAGGGTTTAGGGTTTAGGGTTTAGGGTTTAGGGTTTAGGGTTTAGGGTTTAGGGTTTAGGGGTTGGGGTTTAGGGGTGTAGTGGGAGCTAGGATTAGGGGGACCCCTTGGGGATATAGACCCTTTCAATAAGGCCCCTTCTAAGAGAGCCAGAAGTAGGGTTCAGAAGGGGTACCCTTTAAGGGGTCTCCCAAATAATGCTACCTATGTAGGCTTCATGCGGTTTTGGGGCTCCGTGGTTGCTGAGGGCGGTTGATTAGGGACCCCAAAAGCACGTAAGCACAAGCATTTTATGGGGACATCCCTACCTTTTTGGCCTTCCTTTCAAGGGGGTTTATATGGGATAGCCCTATCCTTATTTTTGCTTATGTGCTTTTTTGGGGCCCTAGTTTAGGGTTTAGGGGTTTGGGGTATAGGGTTGTGGCTCTGGCGCTTACGGTTTGACGCTTCCATCTGGCGGCGTCTGAAAAGGTTTGCAGTCTTGCAGCTGTGCAGCGCAGTTGCGCCGTTTTTGTTTGTCCCAAGGTGAGTAGGTTGCCTCCCCTTTTAGGGCCCCAAAAAAGCACATAAGCAAAAATAAGGATAGGGATATCCCATATAAACCCCCTTGAAAGGAAGGCCAAAAAGGTAGGGACATTCCCATAAAATGCTTGTGCTTACGTGCTTTTTGGCTCCCTAACCTTTGTGGCCCTAGAACCTGCAGAGCGAGTTTCTGCAGAATTTCCAGGTAGACGACTCCGTGGAGGCTTAGGTTATCATCCGTCTAGGTGAAACCCGATGACGCCTGCAGTCAACCTTCAGGAAGCTGGCGAAACCCTGCTAAAATCCTGAACCCCAATTCCAAGTTTGTTCCGTTTTTGCTAAACCGTATTCGGGCTGTTTACCTTGTCATTGCCCCCAGGCCCCAATAAGACCCAACAGACAGAAGCTTCAATCACAGCGGGCTTTCCCAGGCTTGGGCCCCGCCTTGGTGTCCACGGGCGTGCAGATGTTTCAATATCGTGCCTCGGTTTTGGTGATGAATGCTTCGTTTTTTGAATTGCTGCCAGCCCTTAGCATTACAGCCCGCGTAAAGATGATGTTATCAGCGCTCTCGTCGTTCTGTTTTTGCATCATAGTTTCCTCTTTGCTTCTGGCTGTTATCCGTGCTACAACGGTTTCATCTGGTCTTGGAGGCTCCAGGATCAGTTTAGTGGCTGTGGATTTTTTTCAGATGGTATGTCAGAGCATTGGTCGGGTTGTAGATGGCTCTGCGGGGTTCGCTCGATTCTACAACCCTAAACCCTGAAAGGTTCAGAGTGTGGAGTCTAGGACATTTGGTTCGGGAGCAGGGATGGCCGAATTACGCCTTCTCTGAAGAAGGGATTCCCTCTGTCCGCAATCGCAAAAATGCGTTCAAAAAAAAGAAAGAACAGATACAGGTTTCCAGGGACATTCCCGTGCTCCGTTTCACAACTCCCACTTCGTCTCTGGAACCCCATGCCCCAATCGTTAGGGTTCAACCCTAAACCCTAAGTCCTAGCCCCCAAACCCTAAACCCCAAGCCCTAACCCCTAAACCCTAAACCCTAAGCCCTAAACCCTAAAGAGGTTAAGGGTTGAGGGTTTAGGGTGAGGTCCAGGAGCTCGGAGATACCCTAGGATGAGTGCCCTTATAGTGTCTCGTCAGGTGCGTGTCGGAGGGTTCCGGATTGAACCCCAAAAAGACGGTGGCAACAACGAGTAGCGATAGCGGTGCTCGTTTCTTTCCTTGTTTTTTGCAGTGGAAATGTTATACGAATAAGAGTAATGATGCTAGTGCCAAGAGCAACCGTGACAAGGGTACTAGCACGAGCAAAGAGTTATCTTAACATCACGAGCCATACTGAAACAACCCCATAATAGCACCTCACAAAACCAGTTTTCCCAGAGACTCCAATATGCCTTAATTAAGGAATATTCCTTCTTTCATATCAGGGATCCTACTATCAATTAAGATATATACCTTAATTAAGGGATATTGGCGTCTCTGGGTACAAGTGTTAGACCCCTAAACCCTAAACCCTAAGCCCTAAACACTCAGCGCCACCCGGGATCCGCCTCCCACGTCGAGGTTCACGCATCGCCGCGCTCAGCCGGGTCCTTTTCCTGACCTGCGGCGTCGCAGGGGTCCAAGATGATTGCTTTCAAGCAGGGCTTATGGGGTTTCGGTTTAGGGTTCAGGGGTTTAGGGCTTTAGAGCTTGGTTTCGGACGGTGTTCAGCGAGCTCTGAGGGCGTCGCTTTTCGTAGGTTCTACTGGGATGTACAGCTTTTGTCAAGTGGTCTTAATCCAGCTATTGAAACCCCTTGCCAAAACCCGCAAGTTCGAAGCCTTAAACCCGAAACCTCAAGCCGTTGTTGATGGCTTGTGTATTGGGTTGTTATGTTATGAGGCTTTGTTTTGTGTGTGAGGCGTGGTTGTAAGCTATAACTGATAGTCCATGTGTCCCAGTGAGACTGTGGTGCTTCACGAAAGCAAGCTGTGCAACAGACTGAATCCAGTGTGACTTGTATTAAAGTCAGCTGTTGTCCGTGGTTTTCGTAGGTTGCTTCCTGCCGAGATTTGCTCCAACACCGGTCCTGCTTCCGCCAATCCTTGCCCTAAGTTGGCCATATGCCCAACCGAACCCCACTTTGTGGACCTCGGCGAACGGAACAGGGACGTCTAAAAAAAACCAAACCGCACGACCCTATATAAAGCCCTAAACTCTAATGTAGGAACCTGATTAAGACGCCCTGGCCCTATAACACCGGAATTTTCGGATCCAGATAACCCGCATAAAGGCCCCAGGGCTCTTAATCAACTTCTATACCAACCCCTAAACCCTAAACCCTTCAACCCTAAAACCCTGAGCCCTAAAGCCCCAACCCCTAAAACCCTAAACCCTAACACCCTAAACCCCCCAAATCTCGAGGTGGGTGGTTGTCAAAACTATGGTCCCTTTGGGTACCCTAAATCTTAGGTGCCGTATTATAATAAGGACCCAAACAAGGACCCTAATTTTGACAACCACCCAGGTGTCGCTCTGCAACGTCCTGGGCACCGTGGTTGCTGGACCGCTCCTGGGGGTCTCCCCGGAGGTGACGCTTGCGGCTACGATGAGGCCAACCTTTGCGGTTTAGGGTTTTGGGTTTGAAGGGGCTCCAGCCTTTAGGGTCTACCGTAACCCTGAAGAAGCTACCCGTTTTATAGTTCCTTGTTATGATTTCTTCATATTGTCCTTAAAAAGGTAGGTGATTCAGGGTTAAGGTAGACCCTAGACCCTAAACCCGGGCTTTTGGGCTAGGGGCTTACCTTGCGCGCGTTTGCATGTCTTCGGGGCTGTAAGTTACCCTTTTGCCGGGCTTGTAGTTTTTTTTAGTGTTTTTGAGCCGTGCCACATAGTGGCATAGGACTAGAACCGTTGCGCAGTGAAGTGAAGTGAAGAAGTGAAAGGGCTTTTAGGATTGGGTTTTTAAGGGGGGGGTTTGTAAGTTTTGCTTTTTGTAGGAGTTTTTGGGGTCGAGGTCTTGGGATCCTTGTTGAGAGGCTGATGGGTTTGGGCTTGTGGTGTTCTGGATTCGGGGCTCGGGGCTTTGGGTTCTTGGGGTTTAGCGCTCCTTAACAGGGGAGCGGGAAAGAACGTGTCCATGTCCTCAACGAAAGCACCAAAACCGTAAAGTCAAAAATCCGAAACTCCTAAACTCCGAAAAACGAAACCCTGAATTCCAAAGAATCTACGTAGCACCAAAATCCTGAAGTCAAAAGCCCTACACTCCCAAACTCCGAAAAGCGAAAAGTCAAAAGCCCTAAACTCCGAAATTCCGACAAAACGAAAAGTCAAAAACCCTAAACTCCCAAACTCCAAAAAACGAAACCCTGAACTCCGAAAGATCTCCAAAGCGTCGCAGGTGTGTCACCATCCCCATGGCGCTGCCCACCTACGCCCGCCTCTGTGACGCGAGCGGCGCGGAGAACAACGTGGCCTTAGTGGCTCTCTGTGCCGGACGGGTAGGGGGGCGGGGGTTCTTGCGTCTGCAATTTGTTTCCGTAACGCCTGTAGAGTTTAGGGCCTTTGTGGTATAGTAGAAGGAAGGAAAGTTTGCTAGCGAAATGATTCTCGACACAGGTTTCAGCTGTATTCTCGACAGGTTTCAGCTCTTTTTCGAGCCTTGCACGGCTTTGTCCTAAATTGTTGTACCATGGTCTACCTACATCCTAATTCCTTAGCTCTATAACCTAGTTACAACCTAGCCCATCTGGTTGTTCTTAAGCGCCCTTGCTTGAGCTTCCTTCCACGAACCCCTACACCCTAAACCCTAAACCCCAAACCCTAAACCCTAAGCCCCTTCAGCGCCAGCGCAGGAGTGTCGGGGTTCATTGGGCGCGGGCCTTCAGCTGCGGGTTGAGGGGTTTGGGACTTCGGGGAATTTTAGGATTGAAGGTGTAGAGTTTTTAAGGATTTAGGATCTTGGGAGTTTTAAGGACTTTAGGATCTTGGGGGCTTTAGGATCTTGGGAGTTTTGAGGACTTTAGGATCTTGGGGGCTTTGGGACTTTAGGATCTTGGGGGCTTTGGGACTTTAGGATGTAAGGTAGTTAGTCCAGGAAAGTTTCGGATCTAGGGTTCAGGGTTTGGATTGTGTTTTAAGGTTCAGTTTTAAGTTTGAGATGCTTTTACAACTTTACCAACGACACCTGTGACGATTGCATCAGCAGCAGCAACAAGAATTGGACGCAAGACGTAACCACCGACGGATGATGATGATGGTGATGATGACGTCGGAGTTGTTATTAATGATGATGACGATGATGAAGATTGTGATGATTCTCCAAGACTATGGAAAATGAGTTGTAGAGACTGCGAGCTTTCAAGGTCTTGGAACCTAAGCTTCGAGCCCAAAACAAGACGGCAAACACCGGAAGTCCTGAGCTCTAAGGCTTTAGTTCTCTTCCCATAGCACCCTGATCAAGCCTTGGTTCGCACCCTGTGCAACTTTCATACAACCCCAAGCCCCCGCACCCTAAACGAGAGGCCTGAACAGCCAGAATAGGGTTTTGGGGTGATGCGGACTTGCGTCTGGTCGAGCAAAGACGGATGACCTGGCATGCGCAGGTTCTGACACTATACAGGCGACCTGTTTTTCACAGGTCCATCACATGTTAAATTGTGCCTTGGAAGCACAATCACAAAAAGACTGCAACCAGAGCCAGGAGGTAGTTGAGCAGTTGATGAATTAGTACGGACCCGTAGGCTGCTTCCTGGGTCGGTCCGGTTTGGGCGCCAGTCGTTCCTTCTCCACAGAGGCGGCTTCTGGTTGAGAAGGTGTTTTCAAGTGTTGGTCTTTGCGGTGCGAACCATGCACAGCAGTCTTCAGAGCCTGGAAACCCTCCGTCGGTCGCCGCGAGTCCCGTCGAGGCCGGTTCAGCTCAGAAGCTGCGCCAAAAGCAATGTCGTCAGAGGTCTTGCGTTTCCCCACCGGAACATCAGACATGCTTTCAGATTCACTGAATGTCTCCACAGTCTTTGCTGGCATTCCAGTCGCATTGTAGGCCTCCTCCCAAGTTGAAAAACCTCGTTGGCCCACACGGTTTGAATGATCCGCAGTAAGAGTGACTGCTTTGGCATCAGAGCACGTAGAAGGAGCAACCGCAGCCTGGGCCCGCTCCCTTCGTCTCTGGCGCTTGCGCTGCCGCTTAGCTCTGCGAGCCTCGCGAAGCTGGTCAACAAGCACCTGCGTCTCACAGGCACCAACCACAGTACCTGGAACTCCGACTGTCACCCTTGGCTCCGTCCCCGGCCTCGCCACTGCTGTGTCCTGCTCCTGCTTCACAAGCACGGCAGTCACAGCTGCGGCAACAGCCTGGACGGTTCTCCTCGGGGCCTTAGCCAGACATGCAGCTCGCACAGCTGCACCAAGCAGTGAAGCTGGGTCTGCCATTGCTCCTATTGGTCAAGGCGCCGCAGCACAGCTGCGGAGGGAAAACTACCTCAACCTGCGTTCGCTAGAGCCTTGAATAGGGTTTTGGGGTATGCCCTCCGTTCGTATCAGTCCTTCAGGTTCTCGAACATCTCGCATTATTCTAATTGGTCAGGTATTTCTCCCGAAATCAGAGCCCATGAAGGTTTCTATCCCCACCTAAGACCCTAAACCCTAAGCCCGAGACCCCTAAACCCTAAGCCCTGAGACCCCTAAACCCAAAGACACTTACCACCCTAGGACCCCAAGGCCTCAAGACCCTCCCTATAGTCTCCATTGTAGTTCCTTTTTTTGGTTTAAACCAGTTTTATAATAAGGATCCTAAAAGCTATCCCCCAAAAAGGAACTGCGATGGAGACTATAGGTAAGGCCATAAGCCCCAAGCCCGAAGCACCCAAAAGCCCCAAGATCCGAAGCCTCCAGATTTCAAGACCCGAAACCCGAAGTCCGAAAACCCCTGCGGCCCTACACCCTAAGACGTTAAGGCCCCCTAATACCCCTAAACCCCCCTAAACCCCTAAACCCTAAACCCCTAAACCCTAAACCCCTAAACCCTAAATCCTAATACCCCTAAACCCTAAACCCCTAAACCCTAAACCCCTAAACCCTAAACCCTAAACCCTAAATACCCAAAAGCCTCAAGATCCAGGTTCGGCTTCTCCCAGCGGTTCCTGTCCTCGGCGCTCTGCGGATACACCGCCGATCCTGTAGGGACCCCGTCCTTCGGGGCGTTGCATGGGGTCTTTTAAAAAGGGGCCCCAAAAGCACACAAGCATAAGCATTTTATAAGGATATCTCATCTTTTTGGGCTTCGATATAAGGGGGTTTATATGGGATATCCCTATCCTAATTGTTGCTTATGTGCCTTTTTGGGGCCCTATTTAAAGGAGCCCGAGCCCTAGATTATAACTCCCTTAAAGGCCTTAAGGGGTCTAGGGCCCAAACTATAAGTCCCCTAAACCATATAGGTCTTTCAAAGGAGCCCTAAAATCCGACCCCTTTTTAAGACACCCTCAGCTCCAGTAAGGGTTTCTTTAAGGGTTCTTGTAAGGGCTCTTTGCGGGTTTGATAAGGGTTCTATGGGGGGTGTAGGGCTTTCAGGGTTTACGTGTTTCGGGGTTGATTTTCAGGGCTTTGGGCTTGGTGTTTAGGGTTTTAGGCTTTAAACCTTAAACCCTAAACCCAAAACTCTAAACCCCAGGATGTTTTAGGCTTTTCGATTTGTGGGGCTCTCGGGGAAATGGGGCTCTCCGAGCATTCGGGATTAGGCCTCTGAGACTCTGGGGGCTTTGGAATGTTTCGAAGGGGTTTCCGGGCCTTTCTGTGGCATTAGGGGCTGGTGGATATTGGGGGAGGTTTGGGGTGGGAGTTTTTGAGAATGTGGCGTCTCCTAGATCCTAAATCTAACCCCCGAATCCCACATCCAAGCCTGCCCGCTCAAGCATGCATCGTCAGCTCAGCATTGTCCTGAGCTGCGCCGAAAGGCTTCCTACATACGGTGAACCTACAACCCCTACACCCTATAGTAAACCCTCAAAGTTGGAAGCCGGACTAAGGACAATTAGTGCTGAGATTCACTATATTTCTCTTAAGGATTGAGGATATTGGGTTTCCAACAGTTGGTCTTCTACTGTATCCCTTCAAAGGATCCCGAGCGGGTGGGGCCTTCTAGGTCCCTTTGAAGGAACCCGTATAGATCACTTTGAGGGACTCCTTTATAGATCCCTTCAAGGAACCTTAAACCCTGAACCCTAAACCCCAAACCCTAGACCCAAACCCTAAACCCCAAACCCTAAACCCTAAACGTAGCGAGGGCTCGATAGCGCGCATGAAGCAGAGCCCGAGCGGTGTCTGCTGAGGCCAGGCAGAGACGGAGCAGCTGTGCTGCGAGACGCTTTGCAATAAGGCCACGGCCATACCACCAAGTGAGGTAGGCTGGTTAGTGTGCCCGTCAAGCACACCTCCATTACGTAGTAAAGCTACTACCCTTAAGCCCAGACCATTTGCCAGCGCGGTGCTCTCCCGTAAGCCTTCTCGTAAAGGGCCCGGGGGGCCGACGGTCCAGACCCGCCTGTTTCGTAAGGGTACTCTTCGTCGTCCTTCTTTGTGAAGGGACCCAGAAGGCACGTCGGCGTCCTCTTCCCGTAAGGGGCTTTCCTGTGCGGAGGCCTTCCCGTAAGCGGCCCGAAGGCCCTCTCCGTAAGGGCGCTTCCTGTAAGGGGCCTCCTTCCCGTAAGGGTAAAGAGCCTTCCCGTAAGAGGGCTTCCCGTAAGGGGCCTTCCTCTCACAAGGCCGTTAGGGCACTCCCTCTCCGTCGTCCTTCTCTGTGAAAGGACCCAGAAGGCCATGACACCAGCCCGTGTCTTTTTGCAGTGAAGTGAAGGGCTTTGTAAAAGGGGCTTCACATGAGGGCCTTCCTGTAAGAGCTTCCAGTAAGGGGTGGGGCCTTCCCGTAAGGGGTTCCCGTAAGGTCTTCCCGTAAGAGGGCTTCCCATAAACTTCTGTAAGGGGCTCCCTTCTCGTAAGAGAGCTTACCCTAACCCCCCCCGCCCGTAAGCTCAATCCTCAGGGCCCTCTCTGGTAAGGGACCCTTCCCGCAAGGGCTCTCAAGGGCACTTCCTCTTCGTCGTCCTTCTCTGTGAAGGGGACCCAGAAGGCCATGTCGTTTGCTTTCCCGCCAGAGCCGGTGTTCGCCAAAACCTCCCATTCAAGGCTGCGTTCGTACAGGTCCCTCCCGAATGAAGCCTCCTTGCAAGGAGCCTTCCAGAAAGAACTCTCCCCCGTAAGGTTCCCGGAAGCTTTCTTAGATTCTTGTAAGAGTCGCCACCCGGAGCCGGTGGCCCCGGAAACCGTGCCCTCCTTTCTAATGTTAAATCATCAGAAATCACACCCCCTGGGCATTGGTACAACAACGTCGCACAGTCAAATCACACACACACGAGAGTCTTGTGACCCAGACACACACAGATAAAAGCAACCGCCCCAAGACAGCAGAGCCCAACACAATCAATTCAGGTCCTGCCTGCAAGGCTTGGCAGTGCAGCACGGCAAGCCGAAAGGCACGTAGATCAATGGGCCTGTCCGCCCTGACGTCCAACATGTGACGATCATCTTTGTCCTGGGTAAGACTGTATGCACCACATGAGTGAGAACATCACGGCAACTCTGCTAACCGAGTACAAGTTACTAACTAGGAGCCGATTGCTGCTTTTGTTGTCGGGAGACCAAAGCCACCAGGAGCGAGGCCAAACTGCGAACCGTCTGATCCACCCCTTCCACCAATGCAATTGGCCGGTGATGCTTCTCCAGCTCCACACACTTTGCAACCTCACACAGCCGACAAAGAGACACAGCCAGTACCAATGCTCTCTGATTAATGCACCAAAGACAGCAACTCAAGCACTCCTTGCATTGTTGAGACAGGAAACAGCCAATGCAAACGTCTGCGAATAATGCGGGGAGCTCCTCACCAAACTCGCCACGGATTGCACCAGCACGAGCCGTCGTTGCACGATTCAAGTACCTTGGTTAGTGGACTGCATGTTCTTCTCAGTGACTCTGAAGGCAACACTCAAAAGGCCAGCAAGACATTCCGCACGGCTTCAGATAGGTGGCACACTCCTCATATCCGGCTGCTTGCCCGCAACAAGTAGCGGTCGGTGCCACACAACACTGTCGGCTGCCTCAAATGGAAACATTGTCTCCCCACAAGGGTCCAGGTCTGCAGATGAATGTTTCCTGAAAAACAAACCTCCCATTTGAAAGCCAAGCAACACCACATTGTGCCCGAAGGCACCCATTGCGAAAAACACCTTTTCGCAACCAGCGGCATCCACCGTGGCCTCAGAAGCAAAACTGAACCCAATTTGAAGAATCTGCTGCGGCGCTAGACAAGTCTACTGCTTCGAGACAAGACACCAGCATCGACGGAGAATAAAAAATGCAGCTGCTTCGAGGCTGCTCCATGACAGTATAAATGCCACAGTTGAAGCACAGCTGCATCAGATTGGCCTCCCATTCCTCAGGTCGTATCTGCAAAGTGAGTCAAAACCATGTGCATGCCAACTTATTCAGTCAAGCTTCGCAGGAGACATCACTTTGGCGTGGCTCCAGAAACCTTCGCCTCGGAGAGACTTCTACATCCAAGCACCAAGACTTATGAGGTGACATGTGAAATGCAAAGCCGAGACTCCCAGCTTCTGCCGCCACCCGCTTTGGCGATCCCCAGCGAAGCCCTCCTCTGCGAACTCGCAGCACGTAGCCCAAACCTCGGGTCTGCAAAAAAATGACTATGTGCGGCTGACGGCTGAGTGTCTTCTTCTACGGGGAGCCAAGACAAACCAAAAACTGATGAAGACAAGCTGCAGATAACTTTGTCCTGGTAAGTGGCGAAGGTGCTGCAGAGGCTCATCGTCCGAATGTTCAACTCGGACAAGCAGGTATATTGCCTGCTGGAAAACATGATGCAACTGAAACTCGAAGAGACACAGAAGAAGCCAGGGCTAACCGCAGACAAGAAGCCTGGTTGCACCCATCAACGACACGATCCTTGCCCAAGCCGTCATAGGTCAGCACAAAATCGAGGTTCCTTCGCGGGTGGTCCCAGTTCATGAAATCATCATCCAAACACCACCCGTGCTGTTCTCGGATGAGCACATGCATCCACACCGGAAGCCCACGGCAAATGGGGAAGCTTTCCATTGCTCCTACCTGAAAGCTGCAGCCGGATGCCTGCGAGACCAGAAGTTTCCAAGACCAAAGCTGCAAACTCATTTCTTAGGTCTAGTACTATCTCGTAGAATACAGAGAGTTTAGAGAGCAGGCAAGAGTGAGGCAGCAGGCAAATCGAGCAAGCATGCAGAGCGAAAGCTTTGACTAAACCCTAAACCCAAACCCTAAACCCTAAACCCAACCTGTGGGTGGTCGGCCAATTTGGCCCCAGAAAGGGACCCGCCCAGGGCGGGCTGGGGCCCCCAGTGGCCTTGCTGCCTGCCCTGCCCTGCCCTGCCCTGCCCTGCCCTGCCCTGCCCTGCCCTGCCCTCCCTCTTCGGCACAACTGGTGCTGGTTTTGCCTCTAAATTCCGTTCATAAAATGTGCATTTTAATGGGGCCAGGTGCCAAAGTCGAGGTCCCCTCCTTTCTTTTCGTGTGGCTGCTTTAAACCCTGCGGTTGCAGAAATAAAGAAAACCATAGAATGAGTTTAGGGGCTAAACCCTAGAAGAAATAGGTTTGGGTGGTTTGGCCGCCTTAGACGTCGTGGGGTGGGAGAGTCAAAAGAAAGAGCCATCCACAACCAGGCTCCAACAGCCAATCGTCAGAAGACGACGCACTCGAAATTACACTGTCGCGAGATACTTCCGCTTATGCGCCACTCTACGGCAAACCCTAAACCCCAAACCCTAAACCTTAAACCCTAAACCCTAACTCTCTTCCGGCTCAAATTGGGCCAAGGTGGCTCGGGGCATTGCCACGGGCGCGGCCGCCCACGCGCTGGGCGCCGCCTGCCTGGTCGCCACGGAGCCGGAGGTGGAGTTCCTTTAAAAGGGATCTATAAGGGTACTATAAGGGATGTGTGGGGGGTTTTAAAGGGTTTAGGGATTTAGGGTTTAGGGGTTTAGGGTTTAGGGTTTAGGGGTTTAGGGGTTTGTTTGGGTTTAGGGTTTCGGGGTTTAGGATTTAGGGTGTAGGAGTTTAGGAGGTTTCAGACATGTTTGGTTTGTGTTTGTGGGAATGCTTTTTGTTTGTAGAGTTTGCTGTTTTCGTGGGTTTTGTGGTCTAGCGTTTACAGTTTGACGTTCAGGGTTCTTCGTGTTTTGGGGGGTTCGAGGTTGAGGCTTTAGGGTGTTGAGGCTTCAGGGCCAATGTAAGTTACCATAATCAGGAAACCTTATTGTTCACAATACATCCCTATAGTGGTAGCTTAAATTACATTCCTTACCCCTAAACCCTTCTATCACGGAACCCTAAACTATGGTAACCTACATTAGTTTCCTTACCAAGAACCCAAGCTCGGCGTTTTTTTTTTTTTTTTTTGTGGTTTCTGGGTCTTTTTGGGGCGTGAAGGCCCAAACCCCTGCAGGGTTGCGAGGGGCTCGGAACCTTGGATAAGTGAAGAGTCGCTGTTGTCGTTTTGCAAGAACTTGGATGCAGTAAAGGGGCCTAAAGAATTATTAGTACCATTTTTTGGGGTTCCTTTCTATAATTATAGTATAATGTCGTGCTTCAGGACCATTGTGTGGTTTACAGTAGGGTTTGAAAAGGGGCGGTAGTAATTCGAATGGGGTCTGGGGGTATATATATATATACACATATTATGCTATTAGTATAATAAGGAACCCTTAAAATAGTATTGGTAACTATTGAGGCCCGTATATTAGTGCTTTAGGATTGTTATTGAAGGGTTTGGGGTTTATACGGATGGGTTTCGACAGGTCGAAACCGGGCTTTCATGTGTCGTGTTATCTGAGGATGGCCGACGGCTTTCAGGGTTTGTTATTGCATCCCGACGGTTTTTGCAATTTTTTTGAGTTCTTGATGTTAGGCCTGGTGTTTGTTTCGAGCCTTTCATAGGTGGGTTTGATCTTCGGAACTCTGCCGCGCACTGCAATCCTGACACCGTTAAAGAAAAAGTAGACGATACACGATCTACCCGAGCGTCCCTAAACCCCTAAGCCCTAAACCAACAAAAACTCAAACCCCCTAAACCCTATACCCCTAAGCCCTAAACCTTATCCTGAACCCAAGACCTGGAATGTACCGAGCAGCCCGATGCGCTTTGAGACGGAAAGAGGACCTTAGCTATGTAGAGTTTGGGGGTTTAGGGTAGCGCTTCTTGCAGGTATGGGCTTCGAAATCTTCCCACTTAATTACATGGACCCTGACAATACTGTACGGGCTATCTAAGAGTCTTGTTCCTTTCCAGACACTCACAGTTACCGACTTGCGTATCAGTACCACCAATTTAGGCTTCCGGCTCGGCTCGATGGCTTAACTCTGGATACCCTAAACCCTTGTAAACTCTTCTGACATTTGAAGCCCCACGAACACCGGATGAATCCTTGAAATAGAAAAGCCTAAATCTGAACTTTTGCACCACACCCACACAGAACCACTTTATGTAACCCCATAGAATGCCCCCCTTAGCTCGTCTGCGGCCCTCACGGAACACCCGCTGTAACCACGTAGCCGCGTGAAACCTACAGGCCTCTCCCCATAAAGTGCTCCTGTTGATGATGTAAATCCTAGGGTTCCTTTACAGGGATCTATAAGGGCACCTTGAAGGGGCCCCTTTAAGGGATCTATTGGGGGGTTAGGGTTTAGGGTAATGTGACAGGAGTGGACTTGCCTTTTCTTATTCAGTTTAGGGCAAACTGTTGCAGACACGGTCTGGGCCGAGCGCCGTTGAAATTGTGATGTGCAGGGCGACGCACGCCGGAAGAAAAGGGGGACCCGCACCAACTGAACATTTCTTTTGGCGCGGTACGGAGCTCCCTCCTTTTTAACGAAGCAGTGGGCAGATCCAGATGGCTGTCAAGCACGCAAAGAGGAGAGAAGAGCGGCTGTGGACCTGCTCTGCGTTGGCCCGCCGGACCTCCGACTTGGTGCTTGGCAGCTGGCCCAGCCTCTTATGTGCAGCTGTTGCGGCCTGTCATCATGCTGACTTATCTCGACGTGCTGAAGGTTGCGCACCCGTCAGATTGTCTGGTTCAGAAATCGCAGCCTGTGCCTTAAAGTGAGTGTGTGTGTGTGTGTGTGTGCATGTTTCCATCCAAGACCACACGGGGCACGTTTGCGAGCAAGTTGATGATATAAATCCTGCATTACCTTAAAGACCTTAAACTATGGGAAGTATGGTATATACCGTATTATGGGTAATGCAGGATTTCTATCGTCAACCGTCCCAGGCATTCGTCTGGGGCATGCTGTCCATGGCCGTCTCCGGAGTACTCAGCTCAGATGTGGATTCTTCCACAATCTTGAATGCTCTGGGTTTCATCTGCCATGGCCTTTATAATGAGTACGGGAAGGCAAAGCAACAAGTTCACAAACAGGTGAGTAGTCTTCAATAACATATCATCCACACAAATATGTATGTAAGTATACATGCATGTTTTCTATATGTATGTATATGTATATACATACCTATCTATCTATCTATCGTTATATATATATATATATGTATATTTATGTATGTATGTATGTATATTGCTAGTCTATGCGGCGATGACAGCGTCCAAAGCAGGATTTCGAATCCACCAAGCCCTCGGCCGAGGTCGCCTCCGCCGCCTGGATCTGCGCCTGCCAGCCGCTGAGGGAGCTCCGGGGCTTCCCAGAGACCCCATTATCCCTTAAGGAATACCTAGGGTTAGGGTTCTTTTAATGGATCTATAAGGGTTCCTTCAAGGGATCTATAGGGTTTAAAGTTTAAAGTTTAGGGGACTCCAATATTCCCTAATTAAGGAATGAATATACTTTAAATCATATTAGGGATCTTACTATAAATTAAGGAATATTCCTTAGCTACGGATATTGGAGCTCCGGGGCTTTCTGGAACCCTCAACTCATAAAGCCGTGAGCAAACCATTAGAAAGCAATCAAATCTCCTTACGAGGGCTTCTATTAATTGGAAAAGGTTTTGCGGGCTTTCTGGAACCCTCATCTCGCAATCCCGTGAAGGCCGTAAACCCGACCGTCCGAGCAAACCATTCTAAAGCATTGAAAGCTCCTTACGAAGGAGCTACTCGCCTCACCTTAAACCCTAAATCCTAAACCCTAAACTGCCCCCGAAACCCGAAATCCTAAAGCCCCAAACTCCCGAAACCTCCCTACGGAGGAGCTCCTGGTCTCTCTGGCATACCGCAACGCCTCCGGCGGAGACGCCTGAGGCGGGTCGAGGTTCCCAGCTTCCACAAGGCTGTCTGGTTCTTAGTAGGGAATGGGGTTCCATCAAGAGTTCCTGTAAGGGTCACTATAAGGGTTACTATACGGGTTATACTATAGGGGCTTAGGGCTCTTAGTAGGCTGTCTGGTTCTTAGTAGGGAATGGCGGAGTGGATTATGGAGACAACAAACTATCAGACGGAAGGTTTTATAGGATGTATGGAAGGGTTTTGCAGTAAGGTTCTAGGGTGAGGGGTTTGAAGGGTTTCGTAGGATTTGATTATAAGGGTTGCTTAAGGTTTAGGGTTTGGGGTCTAGTGGACGTAAATCCTGACACAAGAAGCAGCCTCGAGAATCCTTACAAGGGACATGCTGAGACCTTGAGTGCAAAACTGAGTTCTCCGTGTTGGCCTAGCACAGCCTTGAGCCGAAGAGGGCACCCTGCATGTTCAGACACAACGGTAATGTCGGAAAGCCTGAAAAATATTTCTGCAGAACCGTTATTCTAAGCTCTTCAAGCTCTTCAGTTCGAAGCCGGAAGAGTCGAATCTAGGCCACCTTCCGGCTTTGCTCGTAGGCTTTTGGACGTAGGATGTAAGCTTCGGAATACAGCCTTTTGGGTTTCCCTTGCAACTTTGGCCTCAAACCAGCTCACATGCAGGAGCGGCGACACAAAGGTGGATGCTGCGAGCCAGGAAAAATCAGCGAACAGCAGACCACGTACACTTTGGACCCGTAGCACAATATCGCATCAGTCCCGGGCTCTTCTTAAACCTCAGACACCCTTCACCCTTAAGCGCCAAAACCACTAACCACAAACCTTCAACCCTAACCTTTAGAAACCCATGAAGCCCACTAGCCGCACTAGCCGTTCATGAGGCCCTGGGTTTGGATGAGGTTTAGGGTGCAGGGTTCCTGATGCAGGATTGTCTGGGTTTTGTATCCTACACATGTACAGAGTGAGGGCACCAGGTCTATATTCAAGTGCGGGTACATAATAAGTATGCGCAGGAGTTGTTGTCTGCCATATTCCTACATATTGTCTACATAATGAATGACTGAATGTATACTGGATGGACGGATGAATTCACGGATACGTGCATGCATGCCTGCACGCATGCATACTGAACGAATGAAAGAAATCATACACGCAGGAACGATCTTCGTTTTGTTCGGTTTCTCGTACCGTACAGTACTTGGTCTGGTATCACTCATGATCTGTTGTGATGCAAGGTGCTATGTTAGGTTGTGTCAGTACATAGTATATGTCGTGCGCAATGTTAGAGTATGTTTGCCAAGGTATGTTAGGCAATGCTATGACATGCTTTGTTTGCCATGTCATGATACTGAATACATTGCTATGCTGTGCTATGTATTGCTATGTTGTGTTTCGGTCTAACGTATGATATCGCACTAGGTTGTAAGATGTTGCATTTTGTGTTATGCTATGCTGTGTTTTGCCATGGTGTGTTTAGGGTTCTTAAATGTTTGCAGCAAAAAACGACCGACAGATAGATCGACAGGCATTCTGGTGGTGATGATTGGCTTATGGTGAATCCAGGGCTTCAGGCATTCAGTTGAGGGCTTGCCTTGTTCCAGAGCATGGCTCCTAATCCTGCTTCCTTCGACTTCTTGTCTAGCTGAAACAGGGTTTGGTTGAGCCTTCAGGGTTCGGGGTTTAGGGTTGAGCCTTTAGGGTTTCGGGTTTAAAATGTTGAGCCTTTAGGGTTTGGGGTTCAGGGTTGAGCCTTCAGGGTTTGGGGTTTAGGGTTGAGCCTTTAGGGCCTTTAGGGTTTGTGGGGTTTAGGGTTGAGCCTTTAGGGTTTGGGGTTTAGGGTTGAGCCTTCAGGGTTTGGGGTTTAGGGTTGAGGCTTTAGGGTTTGGGGTTTAGGGTTGAGCCTTTCGGGTTTGTGGGGTTAGGGTTGAGGGTTCAGGCTTTGGGCTTTGGTGTGGGGTTTGGGCGGAGCCTGCCCGAATCCAGGCCAACCCAGTGGGCACCGAAATAGACCCGAAAAGTCCAAGCTTTTCGGGATCTCATTAAGGATTCGGTAGTTTTGTGTTGCACCCAGTACATCCTAGAGCCTTGCATCACTAAATCCCTGAAGAGCATGAATGAGGCGCTTATAGAACCGTTTTAGAACCTGTGCAGAATCCGTCTAAACATCTTCAAGAAGCAATGCTAATCTGGAAACCTTGACCCCCCAAAACCATCTGCACGTCTTGGGGTTGGGGCTATCTTTCGCTTGTCGTTTCTGCGGCTCAAAACAGCTGTTGCGAACCGACGTAGGGCAGTCAAGGTGCATGCCCGGCAAGAACACGGGTGCGGGCTTCTTAAGAGTACGGTTTAGTGAATGCTCCAGAACTCCTAAGGTCAGAGCCCAGCCACAAGCCTACTCCAGCCGGCAAACCTTCAAAACCTCGGCCCTCACCAGCACCCGAAAACCCAAAACTCCAAACACTGAGCCCGACCTTACACCTTCCTTCGCCCCCTCCTTACTCGGCAAGCTGGCGGAAAGCTCACATGTCAGCCTTGCGTTCTGCTTTGCTTCATGTCGCCGCCTCAGCCATGTATACCTTATAAACGCCTAAACCCTAAACCCCTAGAGCCCTAAAGTCCTAAGCCCCTAAAGCCCCAAACTCCAAACCCAAAACCACCAAAACCACCCAAAAATCGATCCCTAAACCCTAAACCTCTGAACCCTTATAGATCCCTTTAAAGGGAGCCCATACAGTTCCCTTTTAGGGACCCTTCATAGATCCCTTTAAAGGAACCTCTTTAAAACATGCCCGAAGCCTCTTAGTCGTTCTAGAGCCTTTGAGGTCTGTCTGGTTGCTCTCGCCTTTGGGCAGGCTCGAGGGTAAGAGCAGGGTTTAGGGATCTTGAAGGGATTTAAATGGATCTATAGGATTTAGCATGACGGGCTTCGGGTTTAGGGATCTTGAAGGGATTTAAATGGATCTATAGGATTTAGCATGACGGGCTTCGGGTTTTGGGATCTTAAAGGGATTGAAATGGATCTATGGGATTTAGCATGACGGGCTTAGGGTTTTGGGGTTTAGGGCCTTGGAGTTGGGGGGTTTAAGGCATTTCAGGGCTTTTTAGGGTTGAGGGGCTTTGCCTTCGGTTTTCATGTTTTTCGAAGTTAGGGTTCGATTTTCGGAATGCTGCTTCAATACAGCAACAAGCCCACATTGATCTTCTTGTGCTGTGGGGTTATCCTATACCAGTACACAGTCCACCAGAGACCTCAGTAACCCCAAACCCCGAAAGCCTTGCAGCCCTAAACCTCACAAATTTCAAGTGTTTAGGAAGTGTAGGAGTCTAGGGTTTACCTGTAGCCGAAAAGGCTTACCTTTTTAAGGAACTATATATAGAAACCATAATAAGGAACCCTAAAGAGGTAGGTCTTTCCGGCTACAGGTAGGGTTCAGGGCAAAAACCCAGCAATCCTACTTCGCAGCCTCGGGAGTTTAGGATGGGGTGGACGGGACTCCAGCTCCAAGTGTAGATCCCAAGGAACCCTATGAGCCTTCCCTACTTGGAGGGTCTTTAGGGGACCTAGTAAGTAGGTAGTAAGTAGACTTATAAGTACCCTAAAAGGGACCCTCATTGGGGTTATGGTCTTATAAGTCCCTAAATACCCAGTTACTAAGTCCCCCCACCCTCCAAGTAAACCCTGAACCCTGAACCCTAAAGGGTTTAGGGCTTAGAGTAAGCCCAAACCCTTAAACCCGAAACTCTAACTGCCCCTTGAACCCCAAAGCCTTGAACCCTAGCCGTGCAGGCCCTAAGCCCTACGGTTTAGGGTTTGGGGTTTAGGGTTTAGGGTTTAACCCGGAAAGCCTAAAGCACCCAAGCCAGAAATCCTAAATCTGTAAGTTTAAACCCTGGGAAAATCCCTGCAGAATCCTGTGAAGCGGTTTAACATTGCACACCCAATGCATGAGCCCTTGCAGTCAGCCTTGTAATGAATTCCAGAAAGTTGGAGCATGGATTTAGGAGGATTAGGGCTGGTATCCCCGAGACTTCAGCTTAAGGTCACGAGGATGATGATGTTCCAACTTTCTGGGTTCCACTTTGAGGTAATCAGGTTTGCAATCAAAGCCGCGTGCCCCGACAGGACTATCTCAATGATACTGCAAACTCGTCGGATGAGAACATGAGTGATGCCGCTGATCTGAGGGTTTTCTTGATCCCCTTGGTTAAAGAACCCTAAACTTGGGGATTTCACTCTGAGGGTAGGCTTTCGGCGCTTGGGTTTGACATTTCGGGGTTAGGAGTTCCGGCTGCGGATCTGGTTTAGGAAGGTGGTCTGCTGATCTGAAGGACTTGGGGTGCAGGGTAAAAGGGTTTGACTTAGGGGTCCGAGCTCTGGGTTTTGGAGTACCAGACTGTAATACTTTTTTCCCAAAGGAACCATTATGAAATGAA